TTGGAAAGGCCCACTGAGATCGAGTCCAACCATTTCCCCAGCACTGCCAAGGCCACCACTAACCCAGGTCCCCAAGTGCCACATCCACGGGGCTTTTAAACCCCACCAGGGTTGGGGACTCCACCCCTGCCCTGGGCAGCTGTGCCAGGCCTGGACAACACTTTCAGTGAAGGAATTTTCCCAGTATCCAACCTGACCCTCCCCTGGCACAACCTGAGGCTGTTTTCTCTCCTCCTGTCCCTTGTTCCCTGGGAGCAGAGGCTCCCCCCTCCTCTCAGGGACTTGCAGAGCCAGAAGGTCCCCCCTGAGCCTCCTTTTCTCCAGGCTGAGCCCCCCCAGCTCCCTCAGCTGCTCCTGCTGCTCCAGACCCTTCCCCAGCTCCATTGCCCTTCCAGCCCCTCAAATGTCCTTCCTGTCCCAATTGCCACTTGTGCAGGAGGGAACTCACTCACAGGCAGCAAACCAGTGCTGAACCTGCTCCCTTCTCCTTTCACAAGAAAATACACTTGTCACAAGACCTTGAATAAAGCCCCAGAGGATCCCAACATGCCACCTGCTCACCCCAGGATCAGGCAGAAAGACGCTTCCTGTTGTTTGGCTTCAGTCACTTGTACAAAATAAATAAATTCATAAACTTGGGAGCTAAAGAACCCCCAAACAGCTCCATTTCCAGCCGTTCTTTATTTTTCCTCTGTCACAGCCACTCCAGTGTAGCAGCACAACATTCCAGTTCAGGAGGCAACAACAAAGCTTTAGGTACCGCTTTTCATTCTGAATTACATAAAATTTAGCATTTTAAAGCAAACAAAGACCTGGTGCTCATACAATGCCATGCAGGTGGTGTTGGAACAGCAGACACAGGGACACAGGTGACGACCCAGGTAGTTCCAGCTCCATTGTGGCATCACCTACCAATGTGTGCCAGGGAGAGGGGAAGAAGCAGGAACCAAAATCATTTGAATATTTTCAAAGTTTCATCTGTAAAATATTTGTTTGAAACAATCTCTGGTCCTGGAGCATGTCTGTGGTACAGAGGAGACCAAGGAACCAGGAAGAAAAGAATAAGAGGAGGAAGATGGATTAAAGATGCCGATGCCATGTGGGGCTGGTCCCACCCTGTCACTCACATCCCTTGTTTAAAGACCCCGAGCTGGAGGATGGGAATGCAGGAGGGGGTGACCCAATCACCACAAATCTGCATTTATTTCCCTCCAAAATGCACCCCATTCATCCACTTGGACACACTATTCCCTGTTGGAAAAGCAGCCCAAGGGGAGCTCCCTCCCTGCAGTTTCCAAGCTGGCTGCAGGCTGGGGTCACACAGCTCTAGTCATATAACCCTGGAGTGGTTTAGGGTGGAAGAAACCATAAACATAACCCAGTCCCAACACCCTGCTTTGGGCAGGGATGGCTTTTAACCCTGTGGACACCAAGAAACAGAAATGTGCCACTCTAATGCGGCTTCTGAGCCCCATTTAACCAGCAACACATTGGCACCTTCACCAATTATAAGCTCACCTCCATGGCCTTTCCAGAGGCTGGGCCAGGCAGGGGCTGAGGGCAGGGGATGGACCCCAGCAGCACATGGCCCAGCACAGCTCCTGTCCCCAGAACTGCTCCCCAGGGCAGCTGTTCCTGGCTGGGCACAGGTGACAACTGCTCCCCTGCCCTGTTCCTCACAGCCAGGCACCAAGGAGCTGCTGGGGCACCAAGGTCTGCTCAGGGCTCTCACCACTGCCCAGCTGGGACACTCACTCACCAGGAGTGGCTGCTTCCTGGGATTTGGAGCCATCAGGCAAAGCCCTGCTCCGTTGGTGCAGCACTGACACAGGTAACTCTCAGGTCACAGGTAAGAGCAGTGAGCAGGTCCATGCAAACAGGCTCAAGACTGGAAGGGTGTAAGCAGTGCAGTACCTGGGAAAAGTCACTGCCATCCATGCCAGGGAAGGTCAGGGAGAAGGGAGAAGCTGGATGTCCCCACGTGCCATTCCCAGAGCCAGGCTGCCCCACGTAGTTCCCAAATTACACCCTGAACTGGCTCTGGCAGAGCAGGTCTGTCACTGGGAACTGGTTTTAGCGGAGCCAAAAGCGACACTCAGAACATTGCAGCAGCAGCAGCATGGAAGAAACACTCAACTCTTCAACTACTGTGTTTGGTCTCTGCTTTACACAAAGGCACCTCGGCCCCAGTCCCACTGTCTGCATCCACATCAGGCTCCTACAAAACTAACAGGAGCTTCTTCCTAAACCTCCAGGTTTGATCCTTCCCAGCCCAACCTCTGAGCCTCACACCAACACTGGTACAATGACCTGCACGTGACACGTGACAGCTCGAGGGACAGCAACAGAGGGATAAATATTCTTCATCGTAATATAAATATGCTGTAGAACATCTCAACAAGGGCAAAGTGCTTTTCTTCTCCTTAATTAAAACAAAATAAAGACCTAGACAGGACTGTCTCAACCACAACAGAAGGTCTGACTCCTAGAACAGGTGAATAGTCTGCAGGAGGCCGGGGCTCAGTCCCGGGGCACTCGGAAGTTGTCCTTCTCCTTCCTGATGGCCCCCATGGTGCGCACGGGGTCGGTCTCCCCCGCGTGCTGCTGGACTGTCTTCTCCCTGCCAGCAAGGAGGGAAGAGCAGGACGGGAGAAAAATCTCAGCTGGGAGGTCACAACCGTTTCACTGCATCGGGGGAAAAGCTGCGCTCGGAGATCAGACTCGGGGCTTTGGCAGAGCAGCTCTGAGCAGCTCCCCTGCTCTGAAGGCTCACGGGCAGCAGGGAATTGCAAACACTCTCCTGCCTCCAACACCGTCTTCTGCTGTGTCCCTCTGCCAAACTCGGCTTGCTTAAGGAACACAAGGACACAGCAGAGCCTGTTCTGTCTCCTGAGTCAGGGATGGATGCTCACCACAGCCCTCAAATCCAGCCAGCTTCCCAGGACAGCCAGTGTGTTCTAAGGAGGGTCTTGGAGGCATCCAAACAGGAATATGAGAGGCAGGAGAGCAATTCCCACTTATGGCTCTTTCTTTGGAGACCTCCTCCTTCCTGCATTCCCACTCCCAACACAAGGACATTCCCACCCCCAGGCCTCCTCCATACCTCACTCTCATGAAGGGGTTGTAGGTGAACTCCTCTGCGATGGTGGAGGGGATGGTGGGCTCTCCACTGTCATACCGTGCCTGGAACAAGGAATGTTTGGTGAACAAGGAATGTCCTGTACATAGCAGGATGTTTTTGAGGAGGGTCACGTCTCCACCAGGCAGCAAACCACCTTCTCTGGGCACACCCAGACCCCACTCCCTGGAACACAACATCCTGCAGCTCCTGGCTCTCAGCTCCCATCCCTCAGCCTCTCTTTCTCCCCAGCGTCGTCTCATCTCCCCCACCTCCTCAGCAAGGCTCTGCCCCCACGAACCCATCAGGTCTGGGGAAAGGATGACCCAAGCTTACCTTGGCCCACGCCAGCTTTTCCTGGATATTGGCATTATTGGGTTCAACGTGCCGAGCAAACTTGAGGTTGTTGATCGTGTATTCGTGACCACAGTAAACCCTCTGGGAAGGGAAGGGAAGGAAGGGTGACACTGGGTAACTCTGAAGCTACAAAGGGGCAGTGCCAGGTGCCACCACCAGAGTTATGGGGCAGCAGGAACAACAAAGTCAACCTGAGGGCACGTGACACTTTCCATGGAGACATGCTTGGGACAAGTGCCAGGAGGTGCCAGCCAGGACTACCTGCCAATTCAACAGATGAAAGAGCCCTGTGTCCCAGCTCAAGAGCCTCTAATAAGCAGCCCCTGCTCTTTCCCCACATTTGGGGCAGGCATTTCCTTCCCAGAGGACTCCAGCTATCCATCAAAGACAACTCCCCACGTCATTTCTTCCACACATGAGAAAACCTCCCTTTGAACAACAGTACTATTGGGAAGGCAGTTTCTTTGATGCCTGTGGTGGTTTCTGGCTGGTGAACTCCCACAAAAGGAGAGGTTCCTACCGTCCTGGGGTCCAAGCTGCCCAGAATCTCGATCAGCGCCTTGTACATCTCCTCCGGGGTTCCCTCGAAGAACTTCCCACAGCCAGCCACGAACAGAGTGTCACCTGCCAGGGAGGGGTGACGTGGCATCAGACCCACACGAGGCTCCTCACAGCACAGCCTGGGCACAGGGTCCCCCGGGGCTCAGCCCTGCCATTGCTGTCCCCACCACAGCAGCAGAAGGCACAGGCACAGCCAGGCTGCCCCGCACGGGCTCGGTGCCACACAAACCCACGTGGCAAACGTGGTTTCTATGACACAAAACCCCACAGCCTGGCCAGGCACACCCTGCCAGCACCTCCCTACCTGTGGGCAGCCCGCTGTCCCCTCCTGTCCCTCCTGGAGTGGACAAGGAACTTGCTCTTTGCTATGAAGTTGAACAAAGATGAGTCACCTCTGCATTTCTCCCCAGTGCTCCCTAAAATCTTGCTTAAGCCATTACCTCTTCCATGCAGCAGCTGGTACAAGCTCTGGATAACACCCAGCAGGACAGGGATGACCTGGAGTCTGGGGAGACTGGGCACAGCCTCAAGGAAGGGGGGACCCTGCTCCCCAGACCCTGGCTAGAACAGTGGAGCAGCAGCCCTCCTTATTCCTCTATTTGCTCCTCTCTCAGTTTTGTTACAGACATGAGCACAGATATATGGAAAAGCAACAGGTTCTGGGATCAGCCAGTTTGGCCTGGGACAGGAAACCAACAGCTCTTGTTTCGAGGAAGAAAATGCTGGATGTAGGACTCATCCAGGGCTCGCTCCTGACGTCGTTTGCAGGGTGTCCAGCACTGGTTTACAAACCCAGAGGGGTTTCACCAGCTCCACCTACAATTCCTACTTGGCAAGGGGTAAGATGTGGATGTTCGAGCAGCTGCACTGGCAGGAAGGGCCGGATGCACAGCCAGAGGCAGAGGCAGAGGGGGGGCTTCTGTCTTTGCAAGGGAACCTCCCAACTCCTCACCTGTAAAAACTGCAGGTGGCTCGGAGCTATTTGGCTTAGTCACATAATAACAGATGTGTCCCGAAGTGTGACACGGCGTACTGAGGCATTTCACATTAAGAGATCCCACCTGAGAAGAAGGCAGAAGACTGGAGCTTAAGCTTCTGTTTGCTACCAATCGTATGGTTAGAAAAGAATTGCAACTATTACAGTGGTCTAGTGCTCCTACAGGCCCAAACTGGCACAAAGCTGGCCAGGAAGCATCAGCTCTGCTCCTGGGGAGGCCAGTGAGGGAGGGCTATGGCAGGGACTCGGGAGGGAGCTGTTTCCTGCGAGCAGGTGCTGGGACAAAGAACTGCCAGATCCTTTCATTTCCATGCAGAGAGACTCAATGCCCGGTTGGCAGCAAGAGCCAACAGATCCAGAGCAACACAAAATCCTAAACAAAGCTGATCAGGCGTGAAAAAGCTGCAAACAACAATAAAGCTGAAGGGAAGAAGTGGATGACACTCAGGAAAAGGGAAGGATTGAACACAGCCTCATCCCCACACCTTCTCGTGTACTCCTGTGCTCCCTCCTGTGCTGCTGCCCCCCCAAGGTGCACCCAAGGCCAGCAGTGACATTCATGCCAGTTTGTGTCATCTGCCAGCTCTCCTGTAAACAAACAGCCTGGTTCCAGCCAGGCCTGCTGCTTCAACTGGCACTGCTGGCCCCCTGTCCCCTCAGCCCGCGTTCCAGCCGTCATTCCCACAGGAACACTCGCATTTGTTCAGTGCAGAGCACGAGCCCTGTCCTGTCACACGGCTGTTCTGACCCCCCCAGGAGCACAGGACACCCAGTATGTCCCAGGTGCCTGGGCCATGCCAATGCTCTCAGCAGCAAAGGATCACTGGCCAAAACAAGACAGGGGGGTTGCAGTGCACAGGGCTGGAAAAGGGTGAAAGCTGTACTTCAACTACTCCATCCAGGAGATATTGAAAGGTAAGAGAGCTGTGAACACAACAGGAACTCGGGGCAGACCACACCTGTCCAGCTGTGACACAACAAACAGGAACTGCCCCACCACATCCTGCAGCTCCCTCCCTTTACCTGGAGTGCTGTCAGGTGGGACACCTTCTGGGTCAGAGCTCCCACTCTGTTGTCTCCCCCGTACACGTGCAGCCCCGACTCCATCTTTACAAGCTTCTCATTTCCTCCAGCATGGTCCCTGCAACATCAGAAAAATGGATTTGGGAAGGAATGAAGAGAAATTTAAGGTCACTTATATTGCAATGGTAACCTACAGGTGATCACCTCTGATCAATCACTCTCCCAGTATGTAACACTCTTCATATTAAAGAATAAGCCATGTCAACGTGAGAGGAGATAACTTCTCCAGTAATTAGGGCAGTGAGAGAGAGGAACAATCCCTGAACAAGTTCCTACCTAGTTGGGAAACACCAGCCTTAGGGGCTCACAGTCAACTCTCCAGTTACTAGGGCAGGGAGAGAATGGGATAAGTGGGATATGCAATCCATCATCCCACAAGACACCATGGAGCAGGCACACAGGTATCCAACAGCTCAGCATTGACCTGTGCTGCTGGTTTGTCCAGATCAGAGCTGGTCCTTTGGCTCTCCAGCCACAGAGGTGGCTCCACTCTGACCCACAGGAGAGGTTGCTCAGGTTCAGCACTTCTACAGCAAAACACTCCTCCTTACACCCCTGGCAGAGTTAATCCGCACCTCGGGGGATCCTCCCACAGCTGCTGGCTGTGAGCAGGACACCTCAGGGGCATGCCCTGGCACCTCAGTGCAGTGTGCTCCCTCCACACCCACAACTACTGCACTGGCCACCTGGGAGGAATCAGCATTTTAAAGGTTAAAGGCACTGACACACAGAGCCCATGGCCTGGACAGTGCATCTGCTCAGGCAAGCCTAAGGGAATGAGCTCTGACCCTTCTCCTCACACCTCAGCTGCTGCTGAGAGATCACCTTGCTCCAGAACAGCAGCAGCTCCTGGCTGCCTGTGTTTGTGCCCAGGGACCCCAGGCCGGGGGTGGTTACCAGTGGTGGTGGGTGGTCAGGACAGTGGTCAGCCTCACGCCGTGCTTCTTCACTGCATCCAAAACCTGCGGGCACAGGGCACACAAGGGCAGTTACACCTCCCCTGGAATGAGCTGCCAGCACACCTGGTGTCACCTGGACACAGCAGCAGCTCTGCAGGGAGCTCATCCCTCCCCAGGGGGTTCCAGAGCAGGGCACGAGGGCTCTGACCCAGCCAGTGACTGAGCCCTCAGTCCCATTGCCTGCTTTCTGCTCTACATCAAACCAAGGGCAAAACCCCAAATGAGGTCAGGGAGCCCTGGAGCCAGGGCCAGGCTGGCTGGGCAGGCAGCGTGGCTGTGAGCCCTGCCTGCACCTCTGCACAGCCAGTATTTCCTGCCTTTCCCCCACGCCCGAGTCCGCGAGTCAGCAATTCCCTCATGGATGCAGCAACCTGGAAGGATGTCCCAGAGCCACGGTGAGTACTCTGCTCCCAGGGCAGTGTTACCTTCTGGGGGTTCACAGGGTCCACGATGGCAGCCTCCTTGGTTTCCTCATCAATGAGGAGGTACATGTAGTTGTCTGTGAGGGCTGGCAGGATTTCCACCTTCATGTCGGCCTGTGGGACCGTCTTCGGCTCCCTCCGCTCGTGCTCCGTGTGCAGGAAGAAAGCTCGCAGCTGGGCTGGACCTGGGCACCCCAAAAACAGCCACACCTCAGCCCAGGCAGGGGGAAAAGTGGGACAGAGCACAGCCAGACCCCAATCCATGATCCCAGAGAAGGGAGGGTATGGACAGCCCAAGCTGCCTTCTCCAGAGGAAGAGGAGCGAGGCCACCACAGGACAAAGCCTTGGAGCCTGGCAGTGTCACCTTGTGCCCCTCAGCTGCCCCAAGGGGGATGGGACACTTGGCTCATGCAAGGAAAACACTGTGCTTGGATCAGAGAGGAGGTTTCAAGGGGCAGGAAAGCAGAACAGAGAGGGAACAGCTGGACAAAGGTCAACCTAGACAGTGACTTTGAAAAAAAAAATCACAAAAGACAGCCAATTACAGCCAAAAGACAAAAAGGGGGAGGGGGGAGGAGAAATACAGAAATACAGGCCCTGCTACAACAAAAATATCTGGTTTGTTACTTGAGGAAGTGACATCCTGCACAATCCATGGAGAGAAGTCAAGCTCTCCATGGAAGGAGGGCTCCCTGCCTGGCCAGGTAAGAGGCACACACAGGGCTCTTGTCATGGGCTACCCTGATGCAACAGCAGTAGAACATGGAAATATTTGCTTTTGGTTAAATGTTTAATCAGATCCAAGAAGCAAGTTCCAGAGGCAAATAACCTGGGCTCCACTGTTCAAGGCACAGATTAGCAGCACTTAAAGAAACAACCAAGCCCTAAGAGGCTCTGCCACAAAAAATAAAGGAAGGGAAAGGAAGAGAACAAGGTCTTCCATTGCTGGGGCCCTGCAGTTAGCCCTGGGTCCACACACGTGCAGGGAAAGAGGTGTCAGACCCTGCAGGTCAGGAATCATTGTCTGAACACCATCAAGGTGTTTGCTCACCCCCAGAGGTGCCTGTGCTGGGCTGAGCTGTGCTGGCACAGCCCCGTTTCACTGCACCACCGACTCTCCCTGAGGCTCCCAACACTCCCTGCTTGGCCACCTCCCTCGGTGCCAAAGGGAGGGGTCCCCATGCTGCCATCACCCTGCCCCACTCTCCCAAAGCAGCTCAGGCCTGCCCAGCCCTGATAAGAGCTGCCCCAGGGAGAAGAGCCCCACAGACCTGCAGCTCCATGGGCTGATGGGGCTGGGAAAGTGAGATCCAGCCCTGACAGGAGCCAGAGAGCTGCTCCTGCTGCAAACCCAGCCCAGAGCAGTCAGGCCTCTCTGCTGCAACTGCCCAGAGCTTCTCCCCCTCTACCTCCACCATCCCACCTGCTTATGAGGGAAGGGAAATCAGGAGGGCAGATGGCAGTAAAATTAAACACTGTGCTCGAGAAAACCTCAAGCCAGGATGGAACAGGCATGCACTGGGTATTGATGGTGAAGTATTCAGGAAAGCATCCATACCTGCCAAGTGTTCCTCTGGAGCAGAAGACTCCTTTCAAAAAAAAAAAAAGAACAACACAAAAAAGCCCTTACTATTCCTTGACAAGAAAAAAAAATTCCCAGAAAACAATTGCTCCCTAACACAGAGCACTTCTGGCTGCTGCCAGTCACCAGAGCTGTATATACTGGGTGTTTGTTTGCATGCCAGACACTAACTGGAGAAAAAAACACAACCAAACAAAAGAAAACACAACCTTAACTTCAACTCAAAGGAATTATTCACATACTTAAAATGCTTCTTTCCTGTGAGCCATCTCTAACCTTGGCCAAGATCCCAAAGCCTCTTTGCATGTTTAATTCACAACTCTTACAAAACAAACAAACAAGCTACGCCACATAAGGAAATGTTTTCTAACATGTAATTTCAACAAAGGAACGAGAAAACATCCACCAAGAAAGAAACTCACTCCTTGTGAATTCCCATCTGCAGCTCAGCTGCCCCTTTCCAGCCTGCCCAGTTGGAGCAGACCAGGAGTGCCCTGCTCTGAGAAGGGCATGTTCTGAGAGCTGGTTCAGCTCTAAGCTGCTCCCCAGCTGAGCACTAACTCCTTGTCACACACGCAGCTCTGCTCCAAAATTAACACCCAGTGACTTCATTTTCGCTCACTTTTGTACCACGTCCCTCCTGACTTCAGGCCTGAAGCAGAGCAGTGGAGCAGTGGGGAGGGCAGAGTCAGCAGCCTCTGAATCACACACTTGGCCTTCCTAGAACAGCTCCTCAGCACAGCTGGAGTGGCCAAGATGAAAGAGTTTGCAGCTGGAAGTGTTACTGTCATCATAGAAACACAGACGTGCTGCAGACTGACAGAGCAGGTTCCCTCAGAACGGGGCTGCTTCGTGCACTTCCTCCAGAGCATTTTGGGTTACTCGTTTTATTACATAAAAGAGTGGAAAATTCCTGTGTCAGACGAGGCTGTCACTCAAGACACGACTGCACGCCCAAACCCAGCTGCACACCCCTGCACC